TGACAGATTCTCCAGGCCACAGAAGTCTGAGCCGGGCCAGGACTCTGTCCGCATCTGCTAAGTGCCCGCTGTCCATGAGCCAGCACGGAGCCCTTCGCCCAAGTGGCTGGCCTCCCCGGGGAGACGGTCATCAAAGCTCAGAGCACACAGAAGTGGAGAGTGCCAGGGAAAAAGAGACGTCCACCGGCAGAGCAGGGACCTGGGCGTGCGGGCGGGCTAGCCAGAGCCCTCCGCAGCTCCAGCCCAGGTGCTGGCTCGGGACCTCACTGGTGTGCCTTCCCCAGGGGCCCAGACACAGCCCTGTGGCCCACCCTCTCGGGGAGAGCCAGCCCCTGGGCCCGGGCGCCTGGTCCTCCCAACTCTCCAGGCCCTCAGGCCAAGCGGGGCCACACTTGGTTGCACTGACCACGTCTGGGACAACGGGCAAGGGCGTCTCCCACATCTGCGCGGGAGCTGCCTGCCGCCCAGCCCCACCCGGAGGCCCAGAAGGTTCTGCAGAGCCCTCTTGCTGCAAGTTCCCACCCCGAGCAACCCTGCGCCTCCTGGCATCCAGGTCCTGCCCGCCCACCCCTGGCCGCTCCGGGGAAGCGGGGCCCATCGGCACTGCCCAGGCCCACCCTCGGAAGGACGGCCCAGCCCGCCTCCTCAGAAGCCCCTGTCGCCCAACCCAGTTTCCATGAATCGGGTGGGGGCCAGAGTTCTGGGGAAAAAGCGTTGGCCTTTCACACCTCCCGGGTGCAGGAGACCCAGGAACGTGGACAGACCAGGCCAGGAGGGCCCACAGGGGCTTGTGGTGCAGAACACCTGTCGTCCCTGGGGTTGCAGCAGGCTGTGGCTCAGTGCGGCCCCACGGGGCGGCTCTGAGTGTCAGGGGTCCTTTCTGGAGTCTCTGGAGCATCCCCAGGGCAGGTCCTCTGGTGGCAGCCTGCCAACCAAGCCTTGCTGGAGCCTCCACCTGTCACACCTGCACACATCCCACCGGCCTGCACAGACGCCGCCAAAAGCGTGGACGTGGCCAGGGGAAGAGTCAGCCGGGCTAGCGCCAACCCCATGTGGTTTCTGCAGCAGGCCCTGGCCCAGGTGGACGACCTTCGGCTGGTGAGGCTGCTGGAACTGCGTGTGGACACCCGCGAGGGCAGCCTGGGGACCCTCGGTGAGTCCCGTGCACGCGCTCGCATTCTGGGATAGCAGCAGGGCCACCCGTGCGTCCTGGACAGCATGTCTGTCCCCAGGGTCGACCCTGACCTGAGGTCTGTGTCAGGCATGGGAAGAGGGCGGCGTGCCCAGTACTCCTCAGGGGGAGTGTCACCAACACCCACGCTGGTATCGCAGTGGGGTCAAGGTGGAGCCACTCGCCACTTGCCCTGCCATGTGCTCCCTCCTCCCTCCCCGACAGAGTCGGGCAGCTGTTATCTTCCTGGACTAGGTGAGAGCTGCAGATGGGCCCCAGTGTCCTCTGACCCTCCAGGGTGTGTGACAGGACAGTCTCTTACATGCCCATAGTACAGGATCACGGTCAGGAAATTACACCCGCCCACCACACTTCCCCATGCCACAGACCTTATCCAGATGTCCCCAACTGTCCCGACAGCGTCCCTCAGAGCAGGGAAGATGATTCCTGTCTCAGATTGCCGTGGGTTGCTGCCTCTTGCTGGTGGCGAGGGAGACGGCCCGTCCAGGTCGGTCTGGTTTCCACTGCGCACTTGCCTGTGACGTCCTTGGCTGCCTTGTCTGGCCACGAGGCGCACCCACGAGGTCATAGGCCAATGGGTTCAGGAGAGTCTTTCCCGCCAGGTGTGGTCTTGGGGTCCCTGCACCCACGGCCCCCCGTGCCCTCTCTTTTTGTGGTTCGGGGACTCTGCCTCACAGGGCCAGTGGCCCGTCCTCGGAAGGACTCGGACCTCAGCCTTTCCCTGGGGCTTTGTGTGTGCAGAGACGCGGGCTGGACACCTCGCAGTCTGGCACCCCTGGCTGTGTGCTGCTTGGACACGTCTGGGTGCCTGGGGTCCCGGGGCCGGTTGCAGAGGAAGCTCAGGGCGGGCCCGGCTTCTGCCCAGGAGGGCACTGGCCCCACCACGCCAGCCTGGCTCCCGGTCTCCTGGCCAACTCCTGGAGTCCCGCGGCTTCGTGGCCTTCCAGGGACAGCCCCTGTCACCAGCTGTTTGAGGGCTCGCCTCTTGCTGCTTCCTTTGGGCCAGCTGCAGAGGTGGGGTGTGTGGGCTCGGGGCTGCCGGGCTCGGGGCAGCAGGGCCAGACCCTCCAGCAGCCCCCAGTCAGGCCATTTTCGGCCAGTTAGTCCCTCCTGCTGTGTGGGCAGAGGCTTGTCCCAGAGACTGGCCCACGGCACTGATGCTGGGCAGGGAATGAGGGGGCAGCGGTGGGGAGGGGTGAGGGCTGGGCCCACCTCCCCTCCTGTGGCCTTATAGGGATGCACCTGCCCAACCTGGACCAACTGAAGCTGAATGGCAGCCACCTGGGCTCCCTCAGGTGAGTGCCTCACCTCGCCTGGGTGGGGCGGGGCCTGCAGGGGTGGAAGGGAGGGCTCGTAGGGGGAGTTGGGCTGGGACGAGGGTCTCCAGCAACAGCTCAACAGCACCCCGCAGGCTGTCCAGCCCCGAGTGACCCTGTGGAAGGCGGATGGCACGTGGGGGGACACTCAGACAGGTGTGGGCTTCCTCCTGGGTGTGGGGGTACCTCTGTGGGGGCAGGACCCGCCCCTGGGCGGGTCTAGGCCAGCCTGGGCATACTGCTTGGTGTCCTGTGGTCTCTGGCTGGACCCTAACGTACACCCCTCTCACCTGCCTGGCCCTGGCTCACGGGTCTCACAGCTCCCCTCATCTGTGGGAGGCACCAGCAGGTCACACAGACCCAGAGCCGGGACCAGGGTCAGGGTGGCTACGCCCGGTCATGTGGCCGACGAATCCGAAAGGTGCTCACTGACCTCGGCAAGGAGACCCCAACCAGCAAGGGGTCTCTGGTGGACACCCCAAACCAACCAAGGCTTGGTGGGCTACAGGCATCCCTGCACCCCTCCCTGCAGCCCAAGGTGTTGGTCTGCCCCCCGTGAGGCCAGGAGCTTGGGGGTCAGGCTGGTGCCCCCTGAGAGAAGAGCACATGGGCACAATCTCCAGCCTGGACCTCCCACAGAACCAGGGCCAGACCACAGGCCACACAAAACACACAGAGAGGGTGGTGCTCACACGGCAGGTCATCTCAAGCGCTAACTCAAAAGGCCACGTCAGAAACTGAAGACGGGCGAATGGTTCCTGTCGTCCCAGGGGACTGGAAAGACCAGGCTGAAGGAGGATCAGAGCTCATTTTGTGGTTTGAGTGAAGTGGATTTCATGAAAACACTGCTGGTTTTCTGTAACCCAGGCCCGGCATTGTATGGAAGAATTCCAAAGTTCTAGAAAATTCTCCAGCTGTTTGAATTGGGCTCTAAATACAGTATCCCGTGATTTCCAGATAAGGATAAGGTTATTTATTAGGCAACTCTCTTTACATGTTTTCTTGATTTTCTTTTTTTGAGTTGGAGTCTCACTCTGTCGCCCAGACTAGAGTGCAGTGGCCACTCCCGGCCACCACAGCCTCGACCTGCTGGGCTCCAGCGATCCTTCCGCCTCAGCCTTCCAAATAGCTGGAACTACAGGCACGGTAGTACCACGCCCGGCTGATTTTTTGATTTATGGTAGAGATGAGGTCTTGCCAAGTTGTCCAGGTGGGTCGCGAACCCGCGGGCTCAGGCAATCCACTCACCTCAGCCTCCCAAAGGCGGGGATTACAGGCTGAGCCACCGAGCCCGGCTGGCTTTTCTTGATTTTCTTTATTTATACCTCTGCTTGTCAACTAAACATCAAAAGATGTTTAACAAAATACTTGAGGATCTGGAAACGGAAGTAACAAAAGTTGGAAGCCATTCGGTCCTCTGTGTGCAGCCCACAGAACCAGAACAGAGGAACAGACCTTGCACGGGCCTGCGGCAGACACCCAAGCAACACTGTGCGCTCGAAGAAAGGTTTTGGAAAATGGACTCCTTAGAAAGGTGCCTCAGGCATGCCTGTCATCCCAGCACTTTGGGAGGCCGAGGTGGGTTCGAGACCAGCCTGTACAACTTGGCGAGCCCTCATCCCTATAAAAAATTTGCCTCGGGGCTCGGTGGCACAGCCTGTAATCCCGTGCCTTTGGGAGGCTGAGGTGAGTGGATTACCTGAGCCCGCGGGTTTGAGACCCGCCTGGGCAGCGAGACCTCATCTCTACAATAAATCAAAAAATCAGCCGGGCTTGGTAGTGCATGCCTGTAATTCCGGCTACTCGGAAGGCTGAGGCGGAAGGATCGCCGGAGGCCAGCAGGCGAGGCTGCGGTGGCCGGGAGCGGCCCCTGCACTCCAGTCTGGGCGACTGAGTGAGACTCCAACTCAAAAAAAAAAAAAAATTTGCCGGGCATGGTGACACGCACCTGTAGTTCCAGCTACTTGGAAGGCTGAGGCGGAGGGATCGCCGGAGCCCAGCAGGTCGAGGGTGCAGTGGCCATGAGCATGCCACAGCACTCCAGCCTGGACAACAGAGTGAGACTCCAACTCAAAAAATAAATAAATAAATAAAATAAAAGAGAAGTGGAAGGTATTATAAAATTAAGAAACATGACAAAATAACAAAACAAAATAATTCCCGGGGAAATGATTAGGTTGTATATATATATATATATATTTTTTGGATTTATTGTAGAGATGAGGTCTCGCTGCCCAGGCGGGTCTCGAACCCGCGGGCTCAGGCAACCCACTCACCTCAGCCTCCCAAAGGTGCGGGATGACAGGCTGAGCCACCGAGCCCGGCTAGGTCATGTATTTTATAAAAACGTACTCAGTTCTTTGATCACAGAGGTGAAAAAAGTTATGAGCCTTTATATTCTCTGCTATTGAATCCTGAGATCTGGTCACAAGAATTTTGCCATCCTCCACGGGATGAAAGCGAACAAGACGTGAAAGGAAACCACTTAAAGAAATAGGGCAGTCCAGTAAGCTGCTGTGGTACCTCAGGGGGTCACGGAGGCGCTAAGTGTATTAAAATCCCAGGACCTTTCAGGAAGGAAGGTGACGCAGAGAGCTCAGCACCAGAAAATATCACTGGCGTGAAGAGAAACGTCTACACCCAGGGCTGGAGTTACCCGCGGCCCCGTCGGGGCAGGAAAAGGCTCCGAGGGCTGTGTGTTTCCTGCCAGGGCTCCCACACGGCATCCTTCACCAGCGCCCCTTGAATGAGAAGCACACTGAATGCCCGAAACGTAGTTATGCAGAGGAGAAAACCCACTAACAATTTCTAAATCTCCACGAGTAATTTGGAGCCTAATCAAGTAACTGGGGACAGAAGGAGACCCTGACTCAACATTAACAAACAAATATAAACAAATAACTGGGCAGACAAGTTTCCTACAACTAAGTTGCTTGCATTTCTCTCCTTACAAGGGACATCCCGCCTCTAGCCGTATGCCCTGCCGTGGCATTTCATGTGGATCTGTCCTTACTTTTTTTAAGTCGGAGCCGCACTCCGTCGCCCAGGCTGGAGTACAGTGGTATGCTCATGGCTACCACAGCCTTGACCTGCTGGGCTCAGGGGATTTCAGCCTTTCAAGTAGCTGGAACTATAGGCGCGTGCCACCACACCCAGCTAATTTCTAAATTTATTGTAGGGACAAGGTCTCGCCAAGTTGCCCAGCCTAGTCTCCAACCCCTGGGCTCAGGCAATCCCCTCACCTCGGCCTCCCAAAGTGCTGGGATTACAGGTGTGAGCCACCATGCTTGGCCTATGGTATTTTCTTATAGGGCCCAAATGGACCAAGACATTAAGGCGTGGCAGTAATTTTTTTTCTTTTTTTGAGTTAGAGTCTCACTCTGTCGCCCAGACTGGAGTGCAGTGGCT